CTCAATTCCCCTGCTCCACTCTATTTCAGGCCCCATACTTAAGTTACAAAATAAATGGACTGATCTTCCTTCCTCTGTTTTATTCCTCCTTTACTCATAACTCTCTCGACATTATCTGCCAAAATCATCTTCATAGGACTTGTAGCAGTTTAACATTACTTATAGTTACGTATTTATTAAGTTTACTTTTGGTGGTTCCCACAAAAATGTAAATGTAAGCTCCCTGAAAATGAGCACCTTGTTCTCTACTGTATCTGTCATACAGGACATGACAGTGGCAAAGGTGACAGACTTATTTGCTTAATGACTAAATGCCATACCCTTAACTGACCTAAATAAAAAAGTCAGAGACTCTATGTTTCTTCTTAAAAGTTTAAACTTTTCTCTTTGGCAGAAGTCTCCATTATATCTATTAAACTACTAATCTGCTCTCTGTACTAGAATAAAGTAGCCACAGTTATGAAGGCAATGTAGTATCTTTATAACAGAGAACATTGTATACCAGACAATAATAAAGTAGCATGGTGATTAGCTCTGTGCAGTGCCTAAAAATAGTTATTTTACTTTATAATAATTCACCAAAAAGGGGTAAATGTGAAAACACAGGTCGTTTTTACAATACATTTATAAATACAGTAATGTACATACATATATAGATACACACACACACACACATACACGCACATATATATACACAAAGGCAATTAAAATTAAGAGACCAGTTACTTTAGGTAACTCTCGACTCTCTAGGGATTAATTACAAACCTTGTACAATATAGGTTCTCTTTCCTTAACTTGCTTTGGATACCCTTATTTTGCTAATTTCATTAACAATAAGGAAGAGAAGTAACATTTTAAATAGCACCCCTTTTAAATAGATCATTCAAAGGGGAAAGAAAACAGTTGTTAAGTGGAGTTTTCGAATAATAAAATGACCTATTTGCTCTAGTTTATTTTGCTTACTAGCTCAGGTAACTCCAAGAGTTGCTTATCTTGGGGAAAAAGAATTTGAAGAAATAAGCAGTTAATTTTGGTCTCACTACATTGGACTATATTGTGCTTTATGCTTACCTTTCTATGAATTCTCCTAACAACCATATGGTGTACATATTATTATACCCATTTAAAAGATAAGACAACTGACACCGGTTTTCTTTATATTGCTTCTCCAACTTTAAAGTGATCTGAAATGCTACACCCATAATTTGCTTGGGTCCAAAGCTACGAATTAACACCTTATGAATGGGATTAGATAATTAAAATAGTTGTACTAAAAACTAAGGAACAGTGACTTCAGCTTTCTAGATTTTGAAAAATTTGGAAGATGGTTGAAATTTAATGCTGAGATATTTGGTTATCAATGGAAAGGTGCTAAGAAGGGGATGACTCTGTTAGGGGAAAACCTTGTCACTTTCTTTCCTTCTAGCGGCTTGTGGCGGACTTCTTACCAAGCTTAATGGCACCATAACCACCCCAGGCTGGCCCAAGGAGTATCCTCCTAATAAAAACTGCGTGTGGCAGGTGGTTGCACCAACCCAATACAGAATTTCTATGAAGTTTGAGTTTTTTGAATTGGAGGGCAATGAAGTAAGTGAATAATAAATACAATTTTTTTCTATTGTGTTTTGGGAACCTCTGAAGACAAACTGGTAAACGGAAGGAAGGGAGGAAGGAAGCATGGAAGGAAGGAAGGAAGGGAGGGAGGGAGGAAGGAAGGAAGGAAGGAAGAATGGATTGATTTCAGTAGCACAATCATATAGATGTTACACTCTTTCTTTGCTGTACTGTTCATTTCTACAACTGCTTGTAATTCCTGTTGGCATTGGATGATATTTTAGACTATTTCTGGGAGATTGAAAATTACCCAGAAGGAGTTTTACTTAGTGTATTAATATACAGCAATTTCTTGATTTATGAAAGAACTATGAAAAAATTAGGGTTAGCTTCATGTCACAGAGACTTTTCTAAAAAAAATCAATTAGTCAGTCAAAATTCCAAATCCACTGGTTGAGTCATAACAAAAATAGCCACTTAGGAGAACCTGGTATATTTTTAATCTGAACAAAGATGCATTTAATTGACACTATCTTTCCTTTATAAAATATAACTTATTATAATGAAGGTCCAGTTTTCTGCCAGGTGACCACATTTAAACAAGTGAAGTCATTTATTTGAGAATTCCTATGAGCTAGTGCACACACAAAATTCAAATGGAATGTCAAGCCTAGAAATGAGAACTTTCAGAACTGTGTCCTTCGTATGATTGGTCAACATTGGCTTAATTTCAGTTTTGTTTGAGCTTTCCTACTTTCTTTTCTTTTCTTATTCTAATTTCTGTATCCTTTCTTCCAATGACTTCTGTGCTTATTTTAAAATGCACATGATTTAAAACTTCTAAGTATGAGAAAATGAACTAAAAAATTATTTTGTCTCTGATATGTATCTGTTGAACACTTGTAAAAAAGTGAAAAAACAGAAATATATCTATGCTCCTGAGCAATAATTGTTGGTAATATTTGTGAATTTTATACCATTATGTTGTGTCTGTATATGTATCTTTGCTTATTCCCCCCCCTACTTTTCTTTACCTCTTTTTAATGACTTTTTTTTTTCTCTTAATTCTGCCTATCATAGTCAAGGCACTTATGTGCATTTTTTTTTAGTGCTACTAATGGCTTTGAGGTAAAAAGAAATTGCTGACTTTTGTGTTTCCTTAAAGGACATTAAAGTCTAAAATGTGACCAACTTATATATTTCAGAGAGTTATACAATTTCAGAGCTCAGTGGACCTTTTGAGATTCTCCTTACATCATGTGTTAAGTTTTATGATGGCAAAAGCTGCAATTTATATTTCTTTTTTTTTTTTAAGATTATTTATTTATTTATTTGAGAGAGAGAATGAGAGAGAGAGAGAGAGAGAGCACATGAGAGTGGGGAGGGTCGGAGGGAGAAGCAGACTCCCCGCCGAGCAGGGAGCCCGATGCGGGACTCGATCCCGGGACTCCAGGATCATGACCTGAGCCGAAGGCAGTCGCCTAACCAACTGAGCCACCCAGGCGCCCCTGCAATTTATATTTCTAACATACTTTGCCCACATGAAACACCATTATCCTTTAATAATTACCTGAAATTTAGAGAAATATTGAAATGAAGAAAATATTTTTATAGCATTTTTAGAAAAGTTTTCATAGGAGCAAACTTTTTTGAATATGGTAATCTCCCTACCAGTTCTGTGATTTGACATGAACTTGGTGTTGAATGACTTCTACTCTCTCCATTTTCCCTAAAGCAATCAGCTGTAACTGATATAACATATTGATTCATTAGCTGATAGATGTTACTAGGAAGGCTGGAAGTTTATATTCAGGAGGAAGAAGGGTCGATGGTTTTAAATAAATGGGTCATTGTATTTTGAAAGCATTTTCCCATGGTGGTGGTCTTTTTTCCTGGGAGGATCCTTGACAAACTCTCTAACATATCCCAAGTTTCTTAAACTTAGAATGATGTGAAAGGCTGTTACAAAATTCTGTGTATTTTTGTGGTTTGATGTCTTAGTTACTTAAAATAAAGGCATGAGCAAAAACTTGACTTATAGATTACTGGGTTAAGTTAAAACTTCCTTGTTTTTGTTATTATATTGATATTCAAAAAGAAAGATGACGTCAAACAACGTTAACCTCGGTAACATTCTCCTACCCTATGTCAGAGCTCTCTCTAAATAGATGTTGCAGCTGTAACAAAGTGGATTGAAGACCTTTTAAAAATTTTTCCTAGCAACATTTTGCTTATTTATCACCTAATTAATATCACAAGAACCAGTAATTTGGGTTGACATATTGCAAAGCACAGCTCATGCCCCAGGGTTCAATCATATGCATTGTTAAACCTTGCTAATTACACATTTATGTAATAAGGTCATTCATGCAAGATGTATTCTTTAGAATGTACCTTTTTGGAACTTTAGAAAAGTGTGTTATGGAAACATCTGTTAGAGGCCGTAAAATTGCTGAAGAATACCTGGCATTCACTTAGCTTCTTCCATTTTGGCGTTGTTAGTGCATTACATTTAAATCAGAATGAGTCTACTTCATTGTAGTGTAAATTCCCCTCTCCATTCCACCACATAGAGTTTTTATTTGTTTGCAATCCAGCAGCATAGCTCCAGAGTAGTTTTATAGCGCCTGGCAGCTCCAAGAAATTAAGAAATATCTATTTGTTTGATAAATTTGAAAGGCCAAGTATCCTTTTTACTGTATCCTCCAGTGTCTTTCTCCTTTGAAATTTGCTAAGGGTGCTCTTCTGTTTAGAACATAGTATTTCTGGGAGGCAGCACCAGACCAAGCCAAACTCCATGCTATTTTCACTGAACTGCCACATACGATAAGTATAATTTTGGACAAGTTATTTAGAAATTTCTGAACCTCAGTTTTCTCATCTTTACCATAGAAAAGAACGTTTCCATTGTTAATGGTTGTTTCATAGACTAAATGTATCAATTTCATGTCATTATGGTCAGCATTAAATAAGACAGTACATGACAAGTTCTTTCACAGGTCCTAGTGAAAATTTAAACATTAGTTTTTTTTTTGAAGTCAGCAAATACTGTTCTTCTTGTAAACATCAGCATCATCATCTCGACAAATATGCATCTCAGTTCTCCTAAACTCTATTTTTTGGAAAAGATATATGCTGTAAATACATGTAAACAAGCACGCATTGGTATATACATCTCTTGGAGATATTCAGAGCAAAATTCTCTAATCTATTTTTCATGCCATATGCCTCATATTTGGACTCTTTCCCTGATTTTTTTTTCTTTACCTATTAATTCCGGTTTGACTACCAGAGGAGTAAAGAGGGAAAAAACAGGATAAACTTTTCAAAAATAAATGTCAATCATCTGATACTTTAAAATCTGGTGGCTCTCATAACCATGTCTTTTCTAGGTTTGCAAATACGATTATGTGGAGATTTGGAGTGGTCTTTCCTCTGAGTCTAAGTTGCACGGCAAATTTTGTGGCGCCGAAGTGCCTGACGTGATCACATCTCAGTTCAACAATATGAGAATTGAATTCAGATCTGACAATACTGTATCCAAGAAGGGCTTCAAGGCACATTTCTTCTCAGGTATCAGTATTCACATGCTGCATGTGCGTATCGTGGACTTTGATGGTGGATTGGCTTTCATTGTTATCTACTCTTCATAGTTTTCTGTAAATATAACTTGGAGGGACATAGAATGCATGCACATTTATCCTAGGTCTAACAATACTTTTACTTATAATTAGAATATTAATAATTGGGCACCTGATGAAATATAACTCTCAAACACTTAATAAAATCAAATATTATAAAAGCTAGTACAAATAACACAAAATTATTACAATAATATTTTCATACAGTGACTTATAAGTGTATTGGGGTAATGATACCAGACTTCCAAAAAGTGGCAGGCTGTTTCAAAATGATTTATCTTTTTTTTTGGAATACCTGATCTGATTTTAGCAACGTATTTTTTTATTCTTATTATCTAGCAAATATTTCTTATTCCTCTTATGATTATATTTTCATTTATTGATAAGCCGATACTAAAATCATACTTTGCCTCATCACTATAGAAAGGATTATAGTATGAAACCTACGTATATGGAAATTACAATTCTACTAAAAGTAATAGATTATCAGGTACATTAAGCAGTTGACACTTCTGTTTGGAATTTAATATTTAGTTTAACCAACTCATAGTAAAATTTCTCTTGGCTAGAGCTGAAATTTGATAAAATGTCCCGCAAATTTAAAGAAATATTTGAAAACACCAGTGCAATTCTTTTATTTTCCCAATTTTGGAATCATACCTTACTTATAAAGATATTATTCTGAAACTTCAAAACCAGACAAAATTACAATAAACCTTAGTATAGCAATCTGCCTTTCAGACTGGCAGGCAATTTAAAGCAACTGAATTCCAATTATATTTTAATATTAGGTAATTTGGATTGAGTTAATTCAAAGTCCATTTATTCCAATCCCCACATGTTTAAAATTAATGAGATTTACAGTGCCTAGGGTTTGTTTGGGGTTTTCAATGTAATTGAAGTTAATGGTTCACAAGCTCCATTGAGGTCCAAGTCATACACAGAAGGACATTCAAAATACAAGGGATTTTGGCTCTCTTATTCTCCTTGCTTTCCTTCCCCCAGGTTTAATTGCCTTTTAAAAATTCTTCTCAGGCATTAATTTAAGACTTACATTATTCAAAGTAGCATTTTAATATCTTATTTTGATGAAAGCAAGACATTCTTAGACTTCACTATTTTATAAATATCATATGTTGTACAAATTTTAGGTGACTTAGTGGTTAGAGATAAAGGTTTTTATTTTAGAACCACCTAAATATTTATTTTAAAAATTGAAATTATAAAGCGAATAAATCTTATCATAATATTAATAATATTATCAATCCTTTTTACTTTATCATAGTCATACATTTTATTTAATATTTACTTTTTCAAAAGATACATGCTACATACATAGTGGCAAAGTATGATTAAATTTAAAGCTACCCAGAATATTTAAAATTCACTATCTGATATTATTGGTTAGGAAAAACTTTCCAAATTGTAAAGATAGATTTGTGTCTTTAGAATGATACTATTGAAATATAAAGCATGCTACTTAAATTCTTACAATATAGATATGAAGGCACATAAAGAAGATGCTGTTCTCCAGCACATCCAAGTACATAGTCTATAATAATTCTCATTATTATATTCACTTGACAGATGAAGCAGCTGAGGAGTTAAGTAAACTGCTTAGTGTCATAAAGAATTTAAACCCCCAGTTTGTCTTGGTTTATCTAAGAACTGATCATGCCCTTTGCAAATAGCATGTTAAGTGTTACACTGAATGTATTTGTGACCTGAAAAACAACAGATATACTTTTCACTTCTTTATTAGATTAATATTTTTGTTTTTGTTTTTTTTTAATATTTTATTTATTTATTTGACAGGGAGAGACAGCAAGAGAGGGAACACAAGCAGGGGGAGCTGGAGAGGGAGAAGCAGGCTCCTTGCTGAGCAGGGAACCCAATGTGGGGCTCGATCCCAGGACCCTGGGATCATGACCTGAGCCGAAGGCAGAGGCTTAACCGACTGAGTCACCCAGGCACCCCTAGATTAATATTTTATAAAGTCCAAGATAATTAGCATTAAGTGTAAACTTCAAGGGGTTTCTTTTTGATGCATTGAAAAATATCAGCAGTTTGTCAGATTCATATTTAAAATACTGTGGTTCTGGATGAGTATTAAATTTATTTTACATTTAATTTCCTAGGAGTTCCTGTTAGTGGGGAAGATGTTTGCTCAGGAAAGGGAAGACAAAAACATTATAATAAAGAGCTGGTGTGGTACTGTCAAGAGATGACAACAAATTCAGACTTAGTTTACCCGATGTCCTTATGATCATCATACAAAATTATAATTACAAAAGATTACCTATTTTAATAGATAGGCTCTATTCACATTGAAAATGTTATCTTAGAGATCTAATAATGCTTTAAGGGTAACAATATATAATTATGTGTTCAAAGTCAAATAATTCATTATATTTATTAGAAAGTAGACATGTAAACCATGGGGATATTGTATTTCGCAAACAAAATTAAAGGATTTTTTTGTTTGTTAAAATTTACTCTTGGGGGATTTGACAAAATACATCATTGGGTTTATTGTGACAAACTCTTTAGAAAGAAATTTAGCACAGGAATTAAGAGTCATTACAATGACTATTCTAGTTTCTTCAGAAATCTTATTCTTGAGACACATTTATAAAGAAATGTTTCAAAAGCTGGAAGAAGGATTTCAATATACTATTATAGTGATAGAAATTTGAAACAACCTAATGGTATGACAGGGGGAAAATGGTAAATAAATTAGAACAAGTACACTTTGTGGACTTTTCTACACCATAAAGATGGTTTAATGATTCTGTGATGTAAAAAGTTGTATATGATAAAATATTAATGGAAGTCTAGGTATGGAACTATCTGCACACTGTGCATACAGCTAAGCATGTGGTGGGAACAAACCTGAAAGTTGCTATATAAAAATACCAAGAATGTGTGCTAAGGTAGGAAGATGGTACTTTATAGTTTTTCTCCAACTTCTCTCAGTTTTCAATTTAAATACAAAAATAACTTTAATTCATTAGTTAATTTTTGAGAGTGTGTGAGTGGGTGTGTGTGGGTAGAAGGAAAAGGGAGAGAGAGAATCTTAAGCAGGTTCCACACTCAGCACAGAGCCTGACACAGGGCTCCATCTCAAGACCCTGAGATCAGGACCTGAGCCGAAATCAAGAGTCAGACTCTTAACCGACTGAGCCACCCAGGTGCCTCTAAAATAACTTTAGAAGAAAAACACATATCATATTTCTGTTACCCCAAATATTTCTAGATTTGTAAACATTACCTAATAGACTTTGATCTTTGAGAGTGAAGAAACTTTTAAAGTTATCTCTTTTATTAATTAGTTAATAAATATTAATAGAGGTTAATAATCTTAACTCAAGTATTTTGTGTTAAGTTTAATAATTTTAACTTTATAGTTATTTAATAAGATTATCTTATTATAGACAGTTGAATAAATGTGTTACTGTAGTGTGTATGTTAATCAAGCGATACCTTATGAAGACTGAGTCTTAAATGCTTCTGTTTGTAATCTGTGTTCTAAAGATTGCAGAAGTGGTTGTGAATTTATGAAAACATGATAAGGAATATAACATGTTCAGCTTTTTTTTCCACAGTCTTGTGCCAGGAACAATTACCAAGGATTTAATAAAAAGAAGAAATAACATTTGATAATAGGTGATTCCATATTATTTGGAAAGGAAAGTTATTAAAAAATAATTCTAACCTTCTTGCAGCTCAGTGATACATCAAGAAAAAAGACACATGAAAATATATTTAGATTTTTGGGGGGCTCCTGGGTGGCTCATTTGGTTAAGCGACCGCCTTCGGCTCAGGTCATGATCTTAGAGTCCTGGGATGGAGTCCCGCATCGCGCTCCCAGCTCAGCAGGGAGTCTGCTTCTCCCTCTGACCCTCCCCCCCCATGTGCTTTCCCTCTCTCTCTCATTCTCTCTCTCTCAAAATAAATAAATAAAATCTTTTTAAAAAAGAAAACATATTTAGATTTTAATGTGTACCATGAAATAAAACATTTATAGCATCATTTCCAAATATAAATATTTAATAAAATAATCAAATATAAATTCTAGTTATTTTTGTACATAGCTTTTCATTTTAAATAAGCACTTTATAGACCTAAGAAATGGGATCAGAAGAATGACTTTTGGCTGTCGAATTCTGTCACTTCTGTATTTATAAAAAAATAAGAACCATCACAATAAATTCTGATTTAAAATCTTAACAATAACATAATAAAATCTCTCATTAGACATGGAAAATGCTATAGCTTGAACATTTAGAAGTTATTGTATTATACAACAGGAAGTCCACAAGGCCCACTACAAAAATCAAAGTGTCATATACGGTACTGATTTTAGGATATATTTAAAAAACAATATAATGAAGTAATATGAAAGCAAATAAGGAAATTAGGATAATCAAAGTAAAGCTATTTGGACATGATATAAAACTGTGTATCTGTTCAGTTTTTTAGCTACACTGGAAACAGCATAAGCATTTTCTAGAAGATAGTCTGGTCCAACAATATATTACTGTTACGTTTTTGAACTGAATGAGGTTTGTTTTTCTGTTAACACTAATCACTTACTTTACATAATAGTAAAACCAAACAATTTTGTATGATTGTGGATTTGAACACAAGTATGCAAATCTGCACAGGTACATGTGATACAGCTTATTTATTTTAAGTGGTTAAGCAAGGTTAACGGTATTTTACTCAGAACAAAGTATTTTTATTTAAATGGGCCAAAATTAAAGGAAATATTAGTAGGATTTTATGCATGTAAAAAATGGCAATATTTGTCAAACTTGTTTTTTTAAAAATTTAATTCTAGCATTCATTATTTGAAAAAAATGTAACACATGACTTCAGCAATGAGAGTTGAACATTCTGTCTTCCTTAAACAACCATGGATTGGTAAGAATTAAATTAGAGTGAATATTAGAGAATTTGGAGAATAAACCTCATTTAAGAGCAGTGTCTCTCACAGATCTGGTACTGGAGGACCTGGTGAGTTGCTCAGTGGTAAAAATGGAATAAAACCCACCTTTCCTGACTCCCAGTTTATTTCTGTCTGTAACAAATACAGGAGTCAGATTAAATGATCTGTGTGATTTTTCTACCTCAAATTCACATGATTTCAGCAGACATGCTCTTCATCTGACCCGCCTTTTGTTGTGTGCAGTTACTTCCTTACATCATTCCTACTGTACACCATCTCTCTAATGGAATGCTTGTAGATACTGTTAGAAGAAATCCAGCCCCATATTATTCTAAGAAAACTGTAAATGTTAATGTGATTAATTTCAAATAATTAAACAAAACTTTCTTATGATTTTGACAAGTTTTCATTATTAATGGTTTTGAAATATTTCCACATTTTGGAAAGAGCAAATTGTCTTTGTTGTAGCTCTTGGAGGAGTTTATTAGTGCTGGGTTTTTTTCCTCAAGTTTTTATTTAAATTCCAGTTAGTTAACATACAGTGTAACATTAGTTTATTAGTGCTGTTTTGAAGATGATTATTTATTGTTAGGTTTGTGTTCAAACTTGCATGTGCCACGTATTTGCTCACACGCGCATGGGAGTGTGTGTGTGTGTGTGTGCATGCAGGAGCGTGAGTGGGTCTGTTTATTTTATCTTTTGCCATTTCTTGTGAGTATATCTGTCATATATGTTTCTTTTCTGGTGCATGGACCCTTTACTTTCTTTTTCCTACAGATAAAGAAGCTTTCTGCAAAGAAAAAATTTTTATTTTTGAATCTTGCAAGAATTTGATACAGGTTGCCACTTCAGTTCCATCCAGTATGTATTATGCATAGACTGATGGCTTCTGATAGTCTCAGAGATACTCTGCAGGCCTCTGATGGGAAAATGCCACCTCCTTCTTTCCTAATAATGGATCTTTCCTTTATTGAACATGAAGCAATGGAAAGCAGATATGTCCATTCCAAAGAAGGAGGCTAATTTCCATCTGCAGAAAATAAATGTTTTATTTCTACTCAGCAAAACATTTGTTTCTCTCACTAATAAAAACTATTCTTAAACTTTTGTGCCTACAGTATGAAAATACTGGAAAATTTCAAATGAGTTATTGATAGAATTCTCAAATATTAAATTTATTATGCAGACATTCTAAGGAATAGTTAAAACTGCATCATCCACTGTTCTCTCTTTTGGATTTTCATTGTTCAAAATATCTGTAGTTTGCATGTCCTAAGAGGAAAAAGGGAAAGAAAATGAAAACATAAACATGTTTGCTAATAGCTTTTTTCTCTAGTTTGATGACTTTCATTCATAAGAAGTCCAGAATATGCTTGTGGACTTTGTCTTTTGTGATGTTGCTATTTCTCATCAATAGATCATCAGAAATCAATTCACTTTAAATAGAATAGTTTATTTACTTCTATTAAAACAAGTATCTAAAAAAATAAAATAAATATTTTTAAAATAACTACACTGTATTCACTGCTCCCTAGGTGACTTAAAATATTAATTGAAATAAACAGCTTTGTTTGTCTGCATGATGTAAATTGTGTGCATAATTTTAAGTATTCCAATATTTACTGAAATTTTCTCTTCTCATATGATTATTTGACACGTGGAGGCACAGTTTTATATGTTACTTTGCTGGGCATGATAACTTTCCTCTGTTGCTTTTAGTTGCTGTTTGCCTTAGTCCAGTTTTGAATTTTAGATAAACCCTAGATTAATATGTGTATAGAATATACATATTCTAGTAGTGTATTGTGATTATTCTTAATTTTCATGTGACATTGATTATATTAGGCACTGTCAGATGTGGAGATGAAGGCAGGAAACACCAGTCAAAGGGGAAAATAGTACTATGGATACTTGGACAATCATTATTTTTCTCCCCCCTTCTTTTTCCTCTAAAGATTATCTTAAAATTATCAATTATTTTTCCCAAACAACATAAATATGAATTATTAGCTACAAAAAAACTACTATGTAATGTAATCAATTTCACTTTCAACTTTATTTCTCTTTAGTTACCATTACCACAGCTATTGTGGTAATATTATGTTCTAATATTATTCTATCATAATACATTCTGCCAAATCTAAAGAAAATAATTCTTCCTAGAAATATAATCTAGTGGCTTGAGAGTGCCACTAGAATGAAGTTTAAATGTTAGAAATATTTTATGCACTGGAATTGCCTTGATTATAAAATAACTATGGACTTAAAAATGCATGAATAATAACTTGTGTTCATGTTTGTATTTTAACATTTTTATATTGCTCATGAATGGCAATCCAAACAGGTCCAGAAACAGGTCCAGATAAAAGGATGATTTCCGGCAGTCCCTGCCACCATTGGTTCACTGAGCACTTAATCTGTCTACCAGTCAATTGCAAATGTGAACTCATTTTCTATAAACTAAATGGCTTATAGTTGTTAGATTTCCAGTGAATTCTCAAAAGTCTGGTTGACCTATAGTACAACTAAAGTTCAGTCTCTCAGGTGTTATTTTAAGATCATCAAACATTCATTATATAAACATTTTCATAGGAAATATGTAACTATTTCAGTGTAAGTAATTCTGGCACCAGAAATTTTAAATTGATTATTTCCATTTAACAAAGAAAGTCTATTTCTACATCCGCTCACGAGGATATATTTTTTTCCGAAGCATCTCAACTAAAGTGTCTCTGGAAAGGTACATTAATAAATTTAGTTAATTAATAAATTAATAAATATAAATCATTTACTGCTTGACTGTCTGAATTGGAAAATACAAGTGGCTGACTCCATCAGGGTAAGAAGTTATGACCTACCATCCACCCATTTTGCATAAGTCATCCATAACTCATAAACTGTAGTTTTCACTGTTGACACAATTAAGGGAACAGGGCTTTGAAATGATTATAAATCACTCTAAAATTAATTTTACAAGGCTAATTCTGTATTCTGATTTCTTATACATGTTGAGAATGGTTTCTTTATTTCTTATACTTTTAGAGAACGGTTTTCTTTATTCTACTTTTATTGTGCTTAAGCTACATAGTAAATAATAAAAGTGTAATGGAGGTGTTAAAGATAGAGAACACATAAATCACAGATGTATCGATTCTGATATATCCTTTTGAACTTTGGGACTGCCTGTATGCATTTGGAGTATTCTGATATTGCCAATACACGAATATATCCCAGAAGCATGTGTGTGCTATGTCGTGTAATCAATCTCCAAAAATGGGAAAACAGATGCATCCTTAAAAATTACCATCAGATTCTTCTATAAAAATGCTTTTCCCAAACCCATTTCCATAGAGTGAATATTGATTTGATAAAAAGGCAAAAATAGCTTTAGCTATCTGTGTGCCACTGTGAGCTCACAAATTGTCACTTGAAAAATAAGTTGACAGTATAAATTTTTGAATTCAGCCAACCTCTGATAATGACTGTCATGTGTCCTTTTTGTTCTCTATGCTGTGGGAGTGATGAAAGTCTGAGTGATGTGTCATCATCTATGTGTGTCAGGAGCAATCTGCCAGTTTTGACTTTAATGGACAAGCCAGCCATGGAATGACAGCTGAGTGACATAGTATGGTGGCTGATGCCTCTCACTGGATTCACTGCCTGCTAATCTCGTTTGGCTTTTTTCCCTGTAGTGAAGTTTTTGGCTATTTCTTAAAGCTCATATTTCCTATTCTAACCTTTACTTCTAGCACACTAAAAGCCTTTTCAGGGAATTACTTATTAATAAACTGGTCTGCTGGAGTAGATTTGTTTCAAATATATAAATTAAGTTACTTCTTTAGGATAATCTAATGATGCCTTTTTCTGTCTTGAATGGTGATGAAGTGTTCAGATTCATTAATGCTAACTATAACAGCAAAGTTAACAACAAAAAAAAAATCAACTGCAGTAGTCATACTGAGTGATTTTTTTTTAAAAGTTATTATACACAAATTTTGGAACCTTGTTTAGCCTCTGTCTCTACACCATGGCTAATATATTGAAGGATTTCCCTCTACTTTGCAGTTCTGCATTTATTCAAACTACCCACAATTTTAAATTTATTTTTAAAAATTGGCAATAAATGTCTAGGATTAGTTGGAAAAAGATTCATTCATTTCCTCTCTCCTACTCAAAACTCCTACTCCAACATAGGAGTGAAAGAGGCTACAAGTTTTCTTCCTAGAGTCAACAGTCTTAGAAACTCAGTTCATGGTACAAGGCTCCAAGCTAAACAAGGAGTGGGTAAAACTAAGACACTATAAATTTGGGGGCTTTTGTTTTATGTTGGGAACAAAGAAAGCTGTGACTTAGTTTACCCTTTGCCAGTGTTAACCACAGCTGAAAGAGTTTCCTTTGATACCCTTTGTTTCTAAAGCTACTTACTAAACTGTGGGGTTATCTTTTTGCTAGACAAAGACGAATGCTCTAAGGATAATGGTGGGTGTCAACATGAATGTGTCAACACAATGGGAAGCTACATGTGTCAGTGCCGTAATGGATTTGTGCTGCATGAAAATAAACATGACTGCAAGGAAGGTATGAAAGAGTGTTCTTTTCTTGACAACATCTAGAATTGCATGTAGTTTCGGTAAAGCACTGCTTCCAAGTAGAGTTAATCATATCAATGAGTGATATCATTGTTGACTATTCAAATGTCAAAAAAAAAATATGTGCAGCGTTCAGAGATACAAGGCATACTATTGGAAACCTCATAATACCTAAAGGTTCTGCACTTCACACATGGGTGACATTAGAATAACTTTGTGTAACAGACATCGGAGTGGCTATGATGCCATCTGGCAGCCAGAAAAGCACCACATTATCCCCAGGTTCTTGTAGCACAGACCCTATGACAGTCTCCATATTTAAACTTGACTTCTGCTAAATGTTTTGCATTTGGTTTAATTTCCCTCCCCAGAATATCTCATATATATGCTACATGAGTGATGGCACTTTAAATACCAAGAGTATCAAACTCAAATGCCTACCAGAGGAAAGACATTTGAAAATGGTAGATACTGTGCCATTTAAAGTTCTAAGTGATGGGTTTGGCCAAAAAAAAAAAAAAAAGGAGCATTCTAATAGCACAATAGTAGGCTATCAGGTTTTGACCCCAAGGCCTTATAATATTCTGATGTTATAAAAAACAGTTATCTTTATCTCCTTAGCCTATATGAGGTAGATGGGAACAAGAAATAGTTACTCAGTTCTTATTTCATCCTTTGAGGATCTGCTCCTGAATTTTCTACTTAAATTGGATTTATGCCCATTTTGAAAGAATTACTATAGCAGATTTTATAACTTTAGTTATTAGCACATGTAGATTGGTAGGTCCCTGGCTAGAATCACAGTTAGATAGCAGCTCTTTGTATGAACATTGGATTAGTACAGGATATCCTGAACTGACTCTTGTTCCATTCACATTCTTTCAAATATTGTTACATGTCAGTTTTTTTCTATTTTTTCATTGAGCCAATGATATTGCTCAGAATCATATGCAAGCAGAATTTTTTTCCCTGTTTTAAGTTTCTTATGTGAGGATAAACCCGTGAGGACTGATATTTGTAACTTAGTACAGTATTCTGTTAAATCAACAGGCTGGGGAATAGTCATGCAGTTATGGAAGATAATTCAGAGAAAAAAGAGAGAGCTTTTGTAGAGTATGCATATACCCTGTGGCTCACAAGTAACCAATATAAATTAGATACCTTAATTCTCTGTTTATTACAGTAAATATTTTCAAGAAAGGATTTCATAGGAAGCTTGCTTTTAGATAGAACGGTATTTAGGTATCCCTACTAAAGCTCATTTTTACTGCCAGTAAAAGGTTTAGGATTTTCTTTTACCTCTGCTGTCGTATGGACACCTTCTACAATTTAGTAGCGAGCCTCTTGGCTTTGTTTTATAGGCTATTTCCAGATCCTGGAGACTCCATATTTCATATGGCAAAGCAAGGACAGGAATAATGGAACTTAGAAAACTGTTAGGATCTAGATTCTAAGACGTGCTACATGATCCTACATTGTTTGAAAGGAGCTGATTTCTTCTCATTTTTGTATTCCTATGCTAGGAGTCCAAATCTCCCTATGGAAAACTATCACAAGTAAGAGAAAGATCTAGTAGTAAGGAATGCAACAACAGCACATTTATGTTGGGCATCATACCCTTATTGCACAGCCCTGCAGTGTAACAGGTGTTTTGTCCATATAGTAAAGAATTGCCCCAAAGAGATTTCTTGGAAAGTATCAGAGAATTAGTTGTGTTTTAGAATGGGATACATAATACACAACAAATAATTCCCAGTCTAAACTAGGATGTGTAGGGGGCTGCTTCATCAGTTACAGAGAATGGACAGAGCCTGAAGATATTAAATATTTTTTTGACATTAAACATTTTTGAAGTGTGATATTTACAATGCAGAATAGTCTCCTTTAAGGTAAGGTAATTTTAATTGTGAAAAACCTAAAAGAAATCTCATATTAATTGAATGAAATAGTCTTCAAAATTAGTTTAGAAGCTATTTCCATGGCTAGTAGCTGTTCGTTTATTTTTCCCCTTAGTGCTGCATTGTACTTTGATAAAATTAGGGATTAATTTACTTTAACAGCTAAAATTATGGTTTAGGTATTCACATCTTTACTTTAAGGGTGAGAGAAAATGTAAATACATCATCCATAAAATGGCTTAATGATGTTAATTAGCTATAAATGATGTTTCTGCTAATGGAAAAATATGAATTGAAAATGGCATTGATTATCATTTGTGACATTGCATTAAGTATTTTGCACATGCCAAGTGTTAATATCCTCGATTGTCAATATATGTTGCTCTGTTAAAATCTGAGCTTTCAGATCCAGCAATTTAAACTAGTCCATTTTCTTTTAGGCATTTATCTAATTCATTGTAAACACTTAATTTCATGCGAGCAAAAAAACAAACATTGCCTGATTATGATCTACAACATGTTTGCCAAAGCAGATGACTATGATAACAGAGACCGGAGTGGTGATTAGTTAGTATTCAGGAAAATCTTTCAGCAGCATAGGCAGCAAATAGGCTACTTTCTTGCTAAACCAATCCCGGGCTAGATTTCCATACTAACTGATATTATTGTTACTGGCACAGCTGAGTGTGAACAGAAGATCCACAGTCCAAGTGGCTTCATCACCAGCCCCAACTGGCCAGACAAGTACCCAAGCAGGAAGGAATGCACATGGGAAATCAGTACCACTCCTGGCCACCGAATCAAATTAGTAAGTGAGCTCGTCCTTCTTTCTGTTAAACTGACTGCCCTTGTCTTTCATGGCCAGCACATGGAAATAAAGTGAATGTTTATTTAATTGAATTGAATTAGTGGGCAGCCGGAAAAGATTTTCTTTCTTATGCTTACCTACTTACACTAAACAAATCCCTGATTTCCTAGATCAAGATGACAGTAAGGGCAGCCGTGCAGTTCTCATACAGTGTACTTATCCCAGATGCTTTAAAGGCATTATCAAAGTTGCTGCAAAACAATAGGCTCTCCTTCCTAACATGTTATTGGTCATAATGTTTCCAAGTGGGGAAAATAAAGGAAGGAACAAAAAAATCATCCGAAATTCAGCAAGAAAGAAATAAAATAACTATTCATATAAAGAGAGCACAGTACTGGTTGTGTCAATTCTATATACCTAAATATATCTGCATGTATTTTTTATAAAACAATGTTGTCTTGTAACGACAAGTCATTTTTGCATAACATAGTTGCCTTCCTTAGACGGATACTGGTATCTTTAGACTTCCCCTAAATTCACATATGAATGTAATGTTTGTCCTTCCTCCTGTGTTCTTTGTCTTGCGTTCTGTCCTGATCATATGGTAATATATATTAAGTTTCATTATAGCCTACAGAGTACTTGAAGAGTATAATGTAAGGAAATAATCATAAGAATATAGAAATTTTAACAATTTCCCATAACATGCTGTTGTCAAAAGCAGGAGGGAATGCCAACCAGCAAGGCTCAGGATAGTCTAGTGGCACCATAATAAAGGACAAGACATTGTCTAGAGAAAGAGGCTACCAGTCTACATATGGTAGCTTACTGGACCAGTCCAGCCGTAAGGTTAATTTTAAAACTTTGTTTTTAAACTTTCTTTTCAGTGAATTTGATGGGGCGGGGGAGAAGCATTACTTATATGTGGCATTATAATAATAAAATTAGAGAATGTCACCAAGATGTTCACAGCCATCTTACAGAGTTTCTTGCAATCACTGTATTTGTAAAATATCAGTAAATGACTTTCCAAACAGAGACATCAATTTATTTCAGCCACTCTTCGGAAGGATGCTAGGTGGTAAGATGACAGTATTGTGGGAACAGGATTATTTGCCAGTCCTGTCCAAGGTCCTGATTGAGAGGACCATTCTGAAGCTTATGGGCTGCATTTTTTTCAGCAGTGCAGTTAGCTAAAGAAATTGGAAAAATAGATTTTCTGAAGACACTGTGTTTTGTAGATCCACATTTTGTCTGCATTACATATCTTCTGTCTGAAGACAGATTCCTTCTATATTTTGTGTAGGGTATGTCTGTGCAGTACCACTATTTAAGGATATTTTCATTGGGTATAAAATTCTAGGATGACAATTTTATTTTCTCATCTATACTTTAAACACTGACTCCATTATTTTTTGGCTTTCATGGTTTCTCATAAGCCTGTTATAAATCTTATATTTATTCTTTTTTTTCCTATTGGTATCTTCAACTTTTTTTTATCAGAAGTTTGAATATAATGTATCTATGTGTGTGTGTTTAGAAATTTTGTGGGATTTATTCTTCTCAAAATTCTCTGAATTTCTTGCATCCATATTATGATGTTTGTTAGAAATTTCTGAAAATTCTCTGCCATTATTTCTCCACAAAATTCTTTTTTACTATTGTCTCTCCTTTCCTTCTGAGATTCAAATTACACATATGCTAGATTGTTTTATATTATACCATAACTCTTGGATGCTCTGTTAATTTTTTGTCACTCTTCTTGAGTCTAAGTTTGCATAAATTTCTGTGGACCTATCTTCAAGTTCAGTGATTGTTTCTTTGGCTGTCTTGAGTCTCCTTGATGAACTTATTAACACATTCTTTATTCCTCTTACCATGTTTTTTATTTCTAGCATGTTCATTTGATTCATTATTATAACTTTCATGTTCATTAATTTGCTTAGGTTGTCACAACAAAATACCATAGACTGAGTGGCTAAAACAAAAACAAAATATTTTATTACAGTTTTGGAGGCTAGAAGTTCAAGATCAACGTGCTGTCTGGTAATGCCTCATCTCCTGGCTTGTAGATGGCTACTTTGTTGTTATATACTCACATGGCCTCTCCTCCCTGTGTGCACAGACAGAGTAAGCTCTGGTGTCTTCTGTCTATTTCTTAAGTGGATTATTTGGTTTTCAGGTGGTTGAATTAAATAAGTTCTGTATAGATTTTGGATAGTTACCCTTTATCAGATATGCAATTTGCAAATATCTTCTCCCATTCTGTAAGCTACCTTATAGTTTTGTTGATTGTTTCCTTCACTGTGCAGAAACTTTTTATTTTGATGTAGTCCAATAGTTCATTTTCACTTTTGTTTTTCTTGCATCTGGAGACGTGTCTAGTGAGAAGTTGAGGTCAAAGAGGTTGCTGCTTGTGTTCTTCTCTAGGATTTTGATGGATTTCTGTCTCACACTTAGGTCTTTATCCATTTTGGATTTATTTTTGTGTACAGTATAAGAAAGTGGTCATTTACTAGTATCTGGAGCATAATAATCATATTTACCTTATTTAATTTATTTTTTTAAAGAGAAAGGACGTGAACAAGGGTGAGGGCAGAGGGAGAGAGAGAATCTCAAGTAGGCTCCACGCCCAGCACAGAGCCTGATGTGGTGCTTGATCTCATGACCCTGAGATCATGACCTGAACTGAAATCAAGAGTCAGACACTTAACTGACTGAGCTACTTGGGTGGTGCCCCAATCATAGTTACTTTAAATTCCATCTCATGGTTTAAACATAGGGGTTATGTCTGAGGCAGTTCTGTTTATTATTTTCTGTTTTAGTAGTGTGTTTTTTCGCTTTTCTTGCCTTTTTTGTGTGTCATGTGACTTTTTAAAAAAATACCTGACATTATGTGGATAACAGTAGAGATTTTATGTCTGGAAGTGGACACCTCTCTTCTGAGGCTATTAGCACATGTGTGTATGGAAGTTGATGTTGTTGAGGAAATATCTAGTTGGTAAAGCTGACTAAAACTTTGGGTTTTCTTGTTCCTATGATGACCTTCAGTGCACCATTGGCCTTGAATTCCTTTTTCTTAAATCGGAGGCTGGGATTTCAATGACATTTCACAATGTTTCTACTTTATCTTTAGCTCCCCTGTTCATCTCCACCATGAGTGATTTCCCTCTCCACACTTTATCCTCCCCAGTGGTAGACTGAAGTTTCTTCTTACTGGGTGCTTGTTGCTCTGGGCAAGGGCTTCACTGTTGTCTTAGTACAGCTTCTATCTTAGGCCCTGATGGTTTAGGTATCGGCGATGGTCTTTCTTGGTGGTCCTGTGTCTTTTCTCTGTGGCAACCAAACTCCATCTTATATCTCTGATTGGTCTTCCATGAGAGTTTCTTGTCCTTTCCATAGTGGTAGCAGGCTTCTACTGTTCTTGCTGTAGGAACCTGTGAACAGTGCTTCTCCAGAGGCAGATGTGGTTTATTGTGGGGTTTTGTTGTTGTTGTTGTTTTGCCCTTCGCCTGGCTACAGTGGGTCTGTATCTTTGCCCTGGTGGTGACAGGGTTTTCTTTTCCTCTTCCAGGAGCTTAAGGTTTGTTTTCTAGAGAAAGGTTACATCAGGGCTTCATATTTTTCTCATAACAGTAACCACTTCACTTCTCCAAGCCTGCAACACTGAGGAAGGCAGTTGGCCTTCTCCTGCTCTGCCCATGATTTTCCTCATGAGCAGGAGATTGGGGTCCAGGGAGAAAAGCCTGCAAGTGGGTTCTAACACCCCCCTGTGTCTTCAGCTCCCAGGGTCTCTGTTCTTTTACTCTAGTCCACACCTGACTTCTACCAGTTTATTAACAATTATAGCTGGATACTTCTTGCCTGGTTGTACGGCACCCAGCATCTCTTCCTTCCATGGTCTGTCACTGGTGAACAGGAGCATGTGTCTCATTTCTCCTTGGAGGGGGCTGAGATTCAGTGCATTTCACATTACTTGGTTAACTTGTGACTTCAGCTCTGATGTGTTCAGCGAAGTTGTGATTTTTAAAGTTTACATGGGTTTTTCTTGTTGTTGGGGTAGAAACAACAATAGTTCCAGCTCTCTATATCCAAGAGGAAGTAGAACTCCTGATATACCTCAATTTAAAAAATGACAATATTTTATTCTTTCTTAGTTTTATATCTTTCAGCTTATTGAACTCCCCTTCTAACTCTAGGACAGTCTGTTCCTTCACAAATTGCAAGCTTTAATTTTCATGCAAATATTCCACTTGAAGGTCAGGACATTAAACATGTCTGTCAGCAGTGGTCATGCTTACGAGTATCCTAAGGAGGAAATTCGCAGAAAGAAAAAAAAAAAACTTTAAGCAAATATTGATCTTTAAGTATTTGATTTTGTCATCCTTGTGGAAGTCATTACAGTCTAAGCCCTAGGCTTTCTCAAATATTAGCATGCATCAAAATTACCTGGGAGCCTTGTTAAAACACATCACTTCACCCCAAAGTTTCTAAATTGAAACACAATACTGATTCCCACTTTATTATCCTGTTAATCATGTTCATATAAAACCTCTCAATACACTCTAATACACTCTAAGAGTTAGAATCACTGGAAAGTGTGTCATAAGATTAGCTACCAACTTCAAGTGATATTTTAGTTCTATATATTTTAATTCTTACCATTTCAATGTAGAAACATAAAATCTCTACTGTTATCCACATAATGTAGTCAATTTATGTCTACTATTATTGTTTCCCTGCTTATTATGTAACTGCTAACTAATCTTACCTACTTTAAAACTGAAATTGCTGTTTATAGCAGATATCAGCCAATGGACATTTGGCCAACCCTGTTTATAATTCCAATTCAAACCATTCAATCACCTTCCTAGGTAGTTAGACATTTATTGTATAGCAAATGTTACCAAAAAGATACATTGTTCAAGATATGTGCATTTTGCCTGGTTTCTTTAGGGTCCTTAATTTTCATGGAAGAACTTGAACCCAAACTGAATTTG